AACATATATTTAAATAATTCAAGTTGATATATCATATAGTTTTGACATGGTTATCACGGATGTAAATTTTATTATTTTACAAAATGAAATTTCATAAATATTTATAAATTTGTTTTCATTCATGAAATAAAAACGAGTTTAATAATAAAAATGAACTGGATTGCTTTTAAAAACAATAGATTTATAAAGATTTGTAAATACTTCTTATGCAATAAGAATAATAATAACAGAGAATGGTTATCACTTCCGGTGCATTTGGCCTTATCGATAACTGGTCAGGAGCTATTGCTCAAATTTACGCCCGAACGCCCTGTTTATACAATTTACGGCCTATCTAAATGTCAATATGTTTCTTGTTTCAATTAGTTAAATCACTTTAACATTCAATACAAAAGGAATTGATTGCAATACGATAATGGTTTCCGAAATATAGCGCTAGCAAAATTACCTGTTTTCCCAACGAAAGATATCTGCCAAAAGCCCTGTCAGTCCGGTGAAAAAGTTTATTTTGTAATGATCGTCCTCCTCGTGGGCACAAAATAGACTATAGGAAGTTCATTGTCTCTCCCTTACATAGACAAAGAAACGAAATCTAAACATGACCCTGTGACCTACCGGCATTGACCGGTCGCCGGTTAATGGTCTGTTTCTCGCATCCGAAAAATCGACCGGCGCGCGCAGCTTAGTGAAGTGCCTACTGATACACTGGCAAAGTAGACTAACGAATATAATCCTAAGCCTAAGCGTTCATCATTTTCATTCTAATCACATAAACCTTGCACCGTGACTATCTTTACCCAATGTATGACTAGAAAACTTTGCTTCTTAAACCTCTTTTTCTATCTCCAGTTTTTTTTATTCTCTTTAAGATTATATTAGATAACAACAGTAATAGTAGCAGTTAATGTATGGTGTAATTTCCACGTCGGACAATTGACCTACATTCTTTATTTATTTACGTTTCCCTTACTTGCCATTGGTTAAGCACATCACGTGATACTAAGGGAGATAACTTTGATTTTTTTCTTCAACATTTTTACTGGACATGTCTGGTTCTTCCAAAGTATGCACTATTTTAAATCCCCGATTACTCGAAAATGAGGTGATTTTTGCAGTACTTTTCAGTGTCATCTGAAGCTTTATAATGAGCTGAATCGGTTAAGGGGGATAACTCAAAAATGAAATTTTGTGACATGTCTGGTTTTTCCGCTGAGGTCTTCAAATGAGTTTCTAAATTAGT